GTGTGTGTGTGTGTGTGTGTGTGTGTGTGTGTGTGTGTGTATATATATATATATATATATATATATATGTATATATATCGACTTGGGCGGCTTTATAAGTACAATCAACTGTATTTTTGTTCAGCCGATACTGTGAAATAGTCATCGTTAATATTGAGACGTTTTAAAGGTGGTTTTAAACAGGCGATTTTTATAGCCGCCATTTTGTTACATGACGATCCCTACTATTAAGTACTACCGCACTTAACACACAGACACACATATTATATATATATATATATATTATTTAATGAAACTACATATAAAGTAAACAATAAAGTTATTATATTTATAATAGTGTACAGAGTATGAATCAAATACGAGACATGACACGGTTTTACTAGTTGAAACAAAGAAACTCATAAAAACGAAGAATAAAACCCGAACTAAAGAAAAATATAGCTAAAAGGTGTTTATAACAGTCGATGAAACGAATCGAAACTAAATTATTGCAAAGTGAAGTAAATGTAAAGTTGTTATGAAGGCAAACTTAGCCGAATATACAGAAACGTCTGAATGCGTGTTCACAAAGTGATAAGCATATAGTTTTGAACGAATTGCGCATGCGTATTTTAGACCAACATAAGTCGAGAAAGCCCACAGAAATTATATTTAGCGTAATGTTCATTTTTTAAAGAAATTACACACTGGTTAACTGTTGTTTGTGTGGAATGCTTTGCAAATAAAAAACTAAAGTGGAAATTGAAGCCAGTCGTCACGTGGTGACAATAACATTGTGCCATGGTGTATAACACTTGTTGCATTGAAAAGTTCGACTAAGAAAAAAACAGGTAAGGTGATTCTGATTCGAAAAGCCAATATGTAATCCGGACTCCTCGGATATAGGCCTTTCTAACGACATGAGACTTGTAGCGTTTGGTCGAAAATTTGTGAGGAAAGTTCGGACAGACAAACGTAAGCGTATTTTTTATATATATTAAGCTAAAAGGTTTTTACATCACTGTGAAAACTAAAGCTTAAAGATGCGCGTTTTTTTATGTTATTTGATAACCAAGGTACAGTCTATAGCATCACATAATATCTTGTAGGTAACACCACTTAAACTTACTGAGGCAAATAAAGGTATAACAATAGTTTAAGAACTTGATATTCTGGAAAATGAACTAATTTGTGGTTTGTATAGCCTAGTGAAACAATTGTGTTGTTCTCTCTAGCAGCTATTGGCAGAGTTAAATTTTCTGGTTACTAACACTTAGTCTCCCCCCCCCCCCCGATCAAGTTAATTTTTATTCTCCAATAAAAGAAAATTATTTAACAAAATAACTGCATTTGTTCACGTTTTTCATATATATATATATATATAAAACAAGGTTATACCTCACTAACCGCAGTCGTAAATTTTTAATGAGATTTCCTGCCCTCTATCAACGTGTAAGTTATTCAAACTATAAAGAACTCGTATAATTGAATATATTCCCGACAGCTGCACAAGTAGTTTGAAGAATGCCGATACCAAAAACGGCGATAATAATTAGATGTACTTGCGTAGGGTTCCCGAAAGTGTTCTGTTGTAAGAGTAAATAAAACCAAAATTAAGATTAACAAATATTTGTATTTCTTGATTTTCAAGTTCATACTTATGCTGTATTGTAGCCTACAGATTGTATAATCCTTCTCGTGATTCATGGCATGCGCACGTTTTACTGACGCCACGAGAGCACATATTGCAACGCTAAGCGTCCCTTATGTGACGTCAATTTATTTTCTACTGACTGACTGACTGACAGGCAACACTACTATATTGTGGTGCGAGCAGTTAAAACAAGTGACCCCCTCCAGGTGGCCTTCAGTCCCCTTTCGGGGAAATTACTTATGATTTCCTCGGTCAAAATACAACATCATTACGTTATATGAACCATACAATAAACTGGGTTATACTGAAGGAGTCATTTTACTAAAACAAATATAAAAAATTGAAAGGTATTTTGTGATGGGCAAATCTGACAAAACGTAAACAGATAAACATTTTTTATCAATAAAACCAAAGATTTATATCCTAAGCCTGATACCTGAAACGTTATACGAGCACATAAAGGAAAACAGATGACGCACATACTATAAAACGAAAATAAGGTGAGGCTGTTGGGGTCGACTGGATATCAGTATCAGTTGATTACGATGGGTTTTCTCCAACGTAAATATGACTTTTTTATCATTAAAAAATGTCACATCATCATGTAGACATGCCTCGTTTTCTTAAGTAAAATACATCAACTTT